GGGCAAGAAAGCAAGCAACTTCACAACTGCTGTACCTTCCCAGAACATCACTCCATCTGAGAATCATGACATACCCAGGATGACTCGAGTATGGAACCACAAATCGTACAGCATAAAGATGTTCAACGAGATAACGTCAGTTGATCAAATGAAAATGCTGGCCCACAGATGGCTCCAACTTCATCCTGTTCCCTACTTGTATGTCTCATAACAATAAAAATGCTTTCAAATGAGCTGATGTAGGTAACAGCTCTTAGCTTGCCAATAAAGTTAGGAATCCTTAACCTGTAAATAGCTTGTCAATAAAGCTAGGGATCCTTAACCTTGTCAAACCCTATGTAAAAAGAGAGGGGGGGGGGGAGAAGGGACAGCTAGCCAGTCAGCTGAGCATGTCAGTCAGTTTATTCATGTAAATGTACACAAAATGGGATTCTTCTGGAAATCTACACCCAGCACCCCTACTCCTACAAATCCTTCAATTTCCTCACCATCTCCCTTCCCCGGGCCCTCTACAGCTCCCGATAACCCTGCAAACTCCGATGATGACTCATTATTCAGAAATTAATTTATTCTGTTAATTACAGCACACAGTACACTACTGTATAAACATTTAGAATACTAAAAATGTTATAAGTGGTGCAAAGGTGACATTAAAACAATATCTGAAGACGGTTGACACAGACCCACTCAACTACCGGTAGAATATGCTCGAAATATTGGTAAGGGGCGGCTCCTCGCTTACTGACCAACTCTTAACAATCTACTCTTAGGAATAGAACTTGGTTAAATGAGTGCCTGCATTTGTGGCTGCAGTTAAAACCAAGGAAAAAAATAATTGTACTAACACAGCTGTTGAGGACACTGGAGAAGGTTCTTTACTAAAAACAGTTTGATGCAACCAAAGGGCCCAATTTGCCTGTTTAAATTCCAAATTTGGGCTAAGAGGAGACTGAGAATACTTATGAAAAGTAGGATAGGAAAATTATCACTATTGCATAAATTAAGGAGCACAGACCAGATAAAGTTGAGTGCAACTAAGGAGCAAATTGAGAGATCTATGCAAGAGAAAATTTGAGTGTGAGGGTCAAAATGAGTGGAGGCAAAGAGAAGTGAGAAGACTATCTAACTGATTGCTATGAAAGTCACAGTGGAACCCTCCCCAGAGGAAATGATGAGCATTAAAATCTAACAAGAGGAGGAGGAAGGAAGGAAGGAAGAAAATCAGAAATGTCATATCTGGAATAGATAATGGCTGAGGAGGAAGATAAAGTGCAGAATGTATTCTCTTTGTCCAAGTAGATGCAAGCTGCAGTGTAATGCAGCAAAGTATGGACAAGGACCGGAGAATGTGGTATACTGTGGCGCACGAGAAGTGCACTTTCATTGAAAGTCCCATTGGGAAAAAGATCTGATGAATGCAATAAGATATAGCCTGAGATTAGAACTGAAAACAGTGGAGCACAATTTTGGTTCTTGCAGACACAAACGGGAAAACTAGGAGAGCAACAACCGAAGCTCTCCCCGATTACTCCCAAGGCCTTGAATACGAGTATTCCACTGTAAACAAGCCATGATTGGCTAATAGAGCATAACTAACGTTTTGCATGTACTATGGACTAGGAGAGTAAGTTAAGTTAATTAACATGGGGGGGGGGGGGGGGGGGGGGGGGGGGGGGGGGGGGGGGGGGGGGGGGGGCAGAGGCACTGGGAAATAAGTAAGGAGTGAAGTATTGGTATGGTGTGAAGAAAGGCGTGGAAGGTGAGCATGTGTAGTGGCGTGGGTGGACCAATGTCCATCATAGGTATTGTCCCCTTGACAAATGTGGCTTCAATAGTTTCAGATAACAGAGAAGGCAGAGAGCACTTGGCAGCAAAGGGAGAAGATGTAGTTTGAGTAAGAAGTGGAGACAACGAAAGACACCAAAGAAGGGATAGAGGTGTTCTGGCAGGTAGAAATTTCCGGAGGGACAGGTGAGAGAGCAACTGTACTTGGGGTGGATGAACCTCAAAACAGTATCAGATGCATTTTGAGGTAAAGGCTTAGAATTTGAGATAGGGAAAGAAGAATGTTTGGGAATATCATGTGGTTTGGGGGTTGAATGAGATTTGGACGTAAATGATGTTGACTTTGGCGAAGGGGTATGTGGCATCAATTTACATTGGAGGGGGCTCATAGAAGTTGAAACATGTGAGTGGTAACATGAAGTAGGGACAGTAAGAGATGCTGAGGTTGGAACCTCAGAGCCCAAGACCAAAAAAGGGTTGGACCCTGAGGTGACAGCTTCAAAAGTCAAGGGAACACACAATCTCACATACTCCATTGGAAGGAGAGATGCGTGAAACTGACATGGAGAATCAGGAGAAGCCTCTTTCTCTTCAAGACAACTGGGAGGGGGGGGGGGTGCCAGTTGGCCCCTTTCTACTTAAAATCTGGCAACGCGAGACTAGGCCAGATGTAACCTTCTTTGCAGTTATAGGCAAGAGGGGGGGGTGGGTATGCATGATGGACTTCAATGGTCAGCTGTAACCACGGCAAGGGACATTCTAGCCTCTGCGACCTGCAATATTCTGCCAGGTGGACAAAGCGCCAGCATTTTCACATTGTTGATGGGTAGGATTCACCCCTGCATTGTAGGTATTGTCTCACACTAACATGAAAACGATGGATGGAGAGCGCAGTTCACGGCTATCAAAGTTAGCCTCGAGCAATATTGGCAAAGATAGCACCTCTTCCCAAGAGGCAGGGAGTTTGTAACAGAGTCGACTTCATGACTGGGAGATCTGGAGCCAAGTTGCTCAGAATGGTCTTTGTTACATGCATATGTGGAAAGAGAGACAATAGATCCACAGGAAGAATTAAGGAAGATGATAGCGCTTGCGATTTTTAATCTTCTAACAAGTGTAAAGACTGTGCCTCGCTCTGCATTTGAACTTTGACAATGCATGTACTACTCTATAAGAATGTGGAAGAAAATGTACAGATCAAATAGGTTAAGGATGCCTTGGCTGAGCTGTGACTGAAAGAATAGAAGACAGAAGTTAGTTTGAAGCAATACAGAATTTATGTCCAAGAGGGACTATTGAAAACAGAGCATAATGGGAAGGAATTGCCTAGTTTGGGGCCTTTCTTAGAAGACATGAAGATGTACAACTGGAGATAGGTCATCAGTGAGACAGGTTCTGAGGTTAGCTTGGCACAGAAGGTTAGAGGTGGCAGTCGAAAAGTCGTGTATGAACCGAAAATCGACACACGTGTTGAGAAGCAGGGATCATAGACAAAGCAGCTGGAGGTCAGAATGTCTAAAGGGTTGTTGAACATGTGGTACTAGAGAAGGTGGTAAATGTGAACATGACCTGGAGAATGGTACCAGGTTGGACGAGAGGTACAAAGGTGTGCCAGGGTCTGTATGGGTTGCTGTAGGAAGGAAAGTGTCTGGGAGGAGGCAGGTCATGGTATGGGTTCTCTCTCCAGGGGAGATAATTTTCCTGTTTTCCTGCACTTCATTTATTTAAAAAAAAGGGGGGGGGAGAGAAAAAATAAGGAGGGGAAGAATGTGGAGAGAGTGCTTCTTGGTGAAATAAAAGGGATCATATATCCCCCTCCTTGCCCAAGAGGGCCCTCAGTGCAGCCAGCAGTGCAGATGCTATCTGTAACCTGTGCCATACCCTACCCTTCATGCCTGTAAACCAGCTACCCAGGATACCAACCTCACATCCACTGAACCATCTCGGCGAACAAATGAGAGGGCGGCTGGAAACCTGCCACAAGGCATACCTCCTTCAGCCACCACCTTCCAGAACCAACAGGTAGCCTCAAGAGATACACCAGTCACCCAAAGGATACCCTAAGCCACTCCCCTCCCCCTGGAGCTCTGGAGGGGGATCAGGACATCTCCCAGATGATCCAGAATCACAGCAAACACCAACCACCACCACCAAGGACCTCAATATTAGAACAGAGACGACAACCCTTTCCCCACCTAGGAACAAGAATTTTCAGATGGTAAAAGTGACACAAGTGCAACTAAATTGGACATTTTACATTGTGTCAACGTTCTATTAGAGGGCTCTCCAGGAGCTTTAATCACAGCCATGGCTTGATAAAGCTCCTAGAGAGCGAAACATTGCCACAATAAAATGTCACATTAGTTGCACTTGTCCTTTTACTTACATATTGTCGGTATTTCTACCAACTTTATTACAATTTTCAAGGGAAAAGACCCCCAAAGGTACAAAAGCAGGAAAAGGAAGGAGGAGGGAGGAGGATGGGCACAAGGAAAGAAGGATGGGAAGAATGGGATAGGGAAAGAGGAAGTGGGAGGTAATTAGGTTCAGTCAAAGGAAGATTAAAAGGTCCAATTCCTCAGACCAGAAACCTCTTCACTGTGCCAAAGAGGCCCTCCTCCCCCCCTCCCTTGAAGAGGCCCAAGAGGACATTCCCTTTTTTCTTGGATCAAGGAACCTGTTGCTTGTATCAAGGTAACCTTAGAAGGAAGTGAACAGAAGTACGAGTCGGGAGATATATACCAAGAGGTGCATCTCTCAAGTTGGTAGTATTCTTTATTATTATGAGACAATCATCCTGGATTAGTTTTATGAGAGTCCCATTGAGGATATGTCAAGTAATGTAGCTTTATTGCTGTGAAGGCTCATGCAAACCAAGGAACTGAGCTAAACCCAACTTCTGGATCAACCTTATTACCTCCAATTTCCCAGATGCTGTAAATCCTTGGGGTTTTAGCACTACAAATTAATTGGTAATAAGGATAAAATGTAACAATGACTATGTGATCTAAATCTTCATAGCAGTCAACAGAAACATTGGAAACCGACATTATCAGCAACCCTACAACATTTAATTACTTAACCATTGTTCAGGAGTGAATTTGTACAGAGTAAAGTACTTACGCTGGTTTGGAAGTAGGGAAATCATTTGATTGTACACGACATAGGCTCTGCCGATCCTGAGGACTCAGATGAGTAACATCCTTTTGGTGCACCAGGTTTTTTAATCCACCCATTGATGAGCCATGACCATCTTTTTGTTGATCCATTCCTTGGCCTTAGAGTTACTAGTGGGTGAAATTTCAGATTGATGCTTGGCTGAAGAGCTACTAGTGGGTGAAATTTCAGATTGCTGCTTTGGTTGAACATCACTCTTGCTGTGATTCTCATTTAATTCAAGTAACTGGGGTAAGAGAGGGCGTGAGGTGCAGTAGTCCAATTTCAGTAGACTCTCTTCTATGACTTCATTCTCTTCTCTTTTGTCTTTCACCAGAAGTGTAGAGTTACCTTAAAGCAAAACAAGGCACTATAATCTTATATTTTATATACATATACACAATTATATGGATTTAGAAAAGGTATATGATAGGATGGATAGGGAAGCAATGTGGCAGATGTTGCAAGTGTATGGAATAGGTAGTAAGTTACTTAATGCTGTAAAGAATTTATGAGGATAGTGAGGTTCAGGTTAGGGTTGTAAGAAGGGGAATTATTAACTGGGAAGAGTATAAACCCATAGGGATTTATACTGTACCTGTACGGGGGATGGATGGAAGGCATTACATTCATAATTCAGGGAATTGGGAGTAAGCCGATTTGCCAATTCCTTGAATCAAGAGCACCTCACCAGCATCAATGAACTCTCCCTTGAGGAGGGTAGGAGAGAGGGAGATTACTTTCGCTAAAAAAGAAGCCTTAGACAGGGATGAGTAAATGTCACCATGCTTCGCTTAACATATTTGTAGATGGAAGTAGTAAAAGACTAAAAATGCTAAGGGTTTGGGGAGAGGGGTGGGATAAATTATGGCAAAAATCAATATGAAAATGGAATTGACACAGTTAACTTTTTGGCTGATTGATATTGTGCTTTTGGGAGATCTAAAGAGAAGTAGCAAAAGCTAATGGACAAGTTTGGAGGGTGTGTATGACAAAATTTAAAGTGCAAAGTACTATAATAATAAGCATGAAAAAGGGTATCACAAATGAGTTAGGTAAAGAAAATTGGAGATATCACATCGAGGGATGGAGTATGGACATGAAGTGAATGTGTTCAGATATTTGGGATTAGATTTGAGTCAATAGATGGGTTAATGAAGGAGATCGAGGTTAACCCATAAAATCTGATGAAGGAAAAAAAAGTCGAGTGCATATGAGAAATCTGTGGAGGACAAAAAAAGTATCCAAGGAAGCAAAGAAGTGAAATGTAACAAAGACTATATTGGTACTAATACTCTTATAAGGGTGTGAAGCATGGGTTTGTGAATGTTGCAATGAGAAAGAGGCTGGAGACAGTGGAGATGTCTGTCTAAGGGCAATTTGTGGTGTAAATATGGCAAAGAATTTATAGTGTTGCGGAAATTATGGAGGGTTTAAGTTACTAAATGGAAAGTATATTCAGAGGGTTGAAGAGGGTTATTGAGGATGTTAGGTCATCTTCAGAGAGGATAGACGCAAAATATGTTGGGAGGGAAGGAGGGTGTGCTATGTCCAAGGAAAGGATGGAAGGAGGGAGGGGGTTAAATGAGGTCTGTGTGTGCAACAGGGCCTGGACATGCAGAGCAGGCTGTGAGCGTGTTAGAGTGAAGGATACAATGTTTTTTGCGACCTGAACAAGCTGTTGGAGTGTGAGCATACGAGTATATATTTTGTGAAGGGCTTCAGGAACCGGTTGCTGGTACACGAGTTCTGGAGTGGGAATTACAATGACTGACACATTAAGAAGGGGTTTTGGGATAAATGGCTATTCTGAGTGACATCTAACCTGTTCATATCTGTGTGCCCGCTCTGCAAGTGTGAGTAATCCAGTGATTCCTCCGACGACCATTAAACCCACCTCTCGGTTGGGGGGGGAAGACATACAGCCCCCCCCCCTTAAGGGGGTTGCCAGTTCTGTATCTACTTAATTTATAAGTCTTAGCTTTATAACAATTCCTCCACAGGCTACTGTATTATACATTACTACATACACTTATTTAGGCTAAATTAGAGTTAGTTGTTTAGCTTAACATAGTAATTACACTACCTATACATTAATACACTGTTTGGCACAGTTACCCATGCCCAGCCTTGCTGGCCTAAGGCCAGCAGTCACACCTCAGCCAGTGAGAGATGCGGGGGGACTTCCCCAGTGACATCCATTGCAGTGAATTATTCGTTACCGCACGCGACCCTATAGTTAATTCACCAAAGTTGCACTCTCATGGCTAGACGAGATAGTGGCACGTGACTCCACAGGTATTCCCTGTATACCACAGCACATCTTTCACATACGTATTCTAGTCTTTGAATGCATTCATGTGCTCTACCACGTGCAAGGGGTAGCTATTCCCTTTTAAAAGATACCTGCAATTGCCACTGTCTCGCTCGTGCTGCCCACTGTGTAATGGAGGTATGTACATTTCAATTCAGATAGCCTCGAGTGTAGCAGCAGGTCCGAAGCTGAATTTCATGATTGAACTGGGACCACTAACTCTCTCAGTCATAACCCACAGACCCTCTATTCTACACAGCTTTGGTCCTTTCCAAACCAGATGTAGCATAACTTTGGACCTTCAAAACCAGACATAGAATAGCTATGGTCCCACAGAACCACTAGGAAGCTAGCTAGTAACAATGACTAGGAGTAACATCACCACGAGATTGGTCCTTCGCTATTTACTGTTAATCATACGCACATGTTCAATAGAGCACCTTGTGCAGTGGGAGTAACATATCCTACATTACATTGCTAGTAACAGTTACAAACAGTTAATTGAATCTGGCGCCTCAACCATTGTGGTTGTTTTGAGATGGCAGCTGTTTGAACCACAAGGGGACACGTCTCTCACACAAGCCATCAACCACAACAGTGGCACCACCTGGCACTGTTTCCACTACACTACACCTCCAATGTAACCTTGTGATGTCATCACAATTCATGACCCCCGGAATACACACCACACACTGGGTCTCTCTAATTTTAGCCCGAGTTTGACACAGAAAACCCAGTGGGAACACATGTATTAGTTAGGAAATGCCACTATGGCAGTGCAGTCAGTACCTGTTTACCGGCCAAAACTGCCAGGGTGGTTGAGCACCTGTGTGCTGGCCTACTGACTCACATTACAGTGTATCAACAACCAATTAAGGCACTGTCTGCCACGTTGGCTTATCCACAGACATCCTTTCCATAATCCTGACTCAGGCCCATTCACTCAGACATGGGATGCCTGTGGGCTCCTTTAAACCACCTCAAACACTACTGTACATCACGAGGGAAACATTGCTGTGAGATTACCACCGACAGTTTAGTGCCACTTACAATGAATGATCTACCAAGAGCTAGGCCCCGACAGATTCCCCCAGGAGTCACCTGGTAATCCCGTGAAGAAATCGATAGCTCAAGGACACCGCAAGGGCAGAAGCCCATGGCCTTGTTTGACTAGGTCAAACACTTCCTCCCCCAGAGTGTGGAGAATTTGGTGATTCTTCAGACAACTGTTAAACCCACCTCCCAGTTGGGGGGAAATGTGCAGCCCCCTTAAGGGGATATATGAAATAATGTGTAAAATGCACAGTGATCAGATTACATGATCACTTTACTCATTTTGTGAATTATTCACTTAAAAAATAAACCTCCCTAACATCTAAGGAATATAATTTTCACAACAAAATTCCACAAATGGGCCTATGTCTTTAATTCTATATGGTATATAGCTACCAAGAACTCTTATGTCATTTCTTCTGAATCTCAAGCCCTTAAATTTTGTGATTTTTTTTTTTTTTTTGTCAACAAGTCGGCTGTCTCCCACCGAGGCATGTTTATTAACCCTTTCAGGGTCCAAGGCCAAAATCTGAAGTCACGCACCAGTGTCCAAGAAATTTTGAAAAAAAAAAAAAAATTATTTTTTCTTACAGAATTAAAGAGCATATTTTTGTGAAGGTAATAAAACAAAAAAAATTAGAATCTGATCAGTACTTACCGAGATACAGTGCCAAGAAGTTTGTAGAAAATGATGTGGTGGCGGCAACATCGACGAATTCCACATACGCGTATTATATTATTTTGTTGTTTTTTTAGTTTTTTTTTTTTTCTTTTCCAATATTTTTTTCTATTCCTACTAACTTTTGGGGCCTGAGAGACCAATACTGTATATAATTGATATATATATACTCACTGTATTGAACAAAATAACCGCACTAAAGTTATTATCAAATTATTGTTTACCACGGTTGTTTATTACAATAAACATGCACAAATATTGTATAATACTAATGTTCTATCATATATTTACATATTTACAATCACTGGACATGGTTTTAGAACTGCTGGAGCTTGTGGACTCCTTGAAACAAGGCACCATGCACAGAGGCACCTTACTTTCCCTCACACATAAACCGAGTTCTTTGCGTCTTTTTTTGCCGTCGTTTTGTTGTGCACAGAACAATGCATCTTTTCTGAGCAAATTTCTTTTTGAGTTGAAGGAAGCTGTATTATGAAATGATCACCTTCTCTCCTCAAAGCTTGGGTATATTGTGATGAATTCGAGGACCATGTTGTATTGCAGGTGTTGTTACCTGGTACTTCATTATGAGTTGTCTGACAACAGACAAACAAAATTCACCATACGGGGTCTGTTACCAGTCTTTATTTGGTACATATTATATGCATTCAGCATTGAAATGTCCATGAAATGGAAGAAAAGTTTCAGTACCACTTGTAACTCTTACGAACACAGTCAAAAAAACCCAATCTGCATGTCACACTTGTCAACCAAGCGCATGTTTTGTGTATAATCAATCACTGTCACTGGTTTTCGAATACATTCATTAGTCACTCGATCAACTTTGCCACTGTCTTGCATTTCATTACGGCGAATGGTTGTCAACAATGTGACATCTCGTTTGTCATGCCACCGTAATGCCATGATGTCATTGGCAGTAAACACCTGCACGTCATCACCACGAAACCTGCGTTGAGCCTGGGCATATGTTTACGATTAGAACGCACTGTGCCACACACATCTGTCTTGTTCACTCGCATGAAATCACTGAGTAAGGGGCTTGTGTACTAGTTATCGGTATATAATGTTTTTGGCCCTTACCAAGATAAGGTGCCATCATGTTTCCTCACTACGTCACCTGATATACCCAATAAAATCTTGGTATCTTTCAATTTTTTACTACCGTGTATACAACAATATCCAACACCAGGCCACTGTCACAATCACAGAGTACAAACATTTTATACCAAAGCGGTTCCTCTTGCTCGGTATATACTGCTTGAATGACAGTCTACCTTTGAACAAAAAACAAAGACTCGTCAATTACAAGATTCTTGAATGGATAAAGTATATCCTGAAAATTTTGTTTGAGATACATGAAAACATTTCTAATCTTGTATAACCTGTCATTCTGTCAGCCTGGTTTTGTCAGAGAAGTGCAACATACGTAACAGTAAGATAAACCTGTTCACTGGTATTATTTCAAATGAAGGATGGGGTACAAATTAGCCGATCTGTGGACCAGTATGCTTTTATATTATGCTTATAGACATGAGGCAAAAAGCATTATTGTTGCAAAAAGCAAATACATTTCTGCAACAGTCGTCTCTTTCCACCTGTGTATCTTGACTGTGGTGATATGATCGTATTTGCCATGGTGTACTGAAAATACTTATTACTTTCCCTGACAATAATTTCCATCAATGGCTGGTCCAAGAATAATTCAAAAAATTCCAGTTCATTTGGGCCCTGGTTCCAAGGGAACAGGTAGGTAGAATTCCACTTGAGAGTCATCAAAGTGGTGAGGGCTGGGAACAAAATTGGGATTTTGCTGCCAAACCCAGATACGGTTTGCTGGTGGATACTGGACATCATAGGTGGTTGTACGGTGGTTGTGGGGGCTGGTGGGTGACGCTCCGCTTTGTCCTTGAACTGACGAGTCAGCAGCGTGGGTCCCCCCGTGGCACAGCAGTCACGCATGGCGGTGCCACTACCACCACCAGCCCCACTAACACCATCCACTGATGTCTGTGGCCCATCCATGCCAAGTGTAGCCACATCATCCTCACTATACTACCTAAAACGGGGTTTGGGGCCCCGGGATGTACTCCGTCCCCTGGGCACAGCATAGGGTACAATACCCGAGCGCATGCGGGGGCGAACATACCCACGCTTCACTGGGGAATATGTTTTTCCCCACTATCATACTCGAATGATCGTCGAGTGCAATAAAATCACAATCCACGTCAGAATCATCGTCATTACTGAAGTCAGAGGCCAGGGCCCCGGGAAAATATTAGTTTTCTCTTACGTTTAGGAACACCCGACCGTGAGCCACGAGTGCCCACACCAGAGGTAGAAGGTCGAGGATCGTCGGGGTTTTCTGCACTATTTTTCGATATCCTGGTCATTATTTTCGGTCACTAACTTACAAAGCCGTAGAATTTTCCCTCTTCATTTCCACTTCCATCAGTGTCAGAACTATCAGACAGGAAGAGGAGAGTCCCAATTTTCCGGGGAGTGAGAACTGACTTGCAACGAGGCATGGTGAACAAGGGTGACTGAGCCGGCGTTCCCACAATGCTATGCAGGCGCCTATATTTTTTGTTTACGGCGCACACCCACGGCGCAGACCCATTCTCTCATATGTAGGCCTATGAGCGCTTTCGCGCTAAATTTGACGGCGCTAGAATTTTGGCATAGATCTACGGTTTGGACACTCACCGACCAGCTGTAGATCTACGGGACGGACCCTGAAAGGGTTAACAACAAAAAATTATTTGGTCTACAAATAACAAAATTGTCTCAAACACTGCAATGTAGTAGAGATCACTTAAATATATATAATTCAAGAAGTATCTCTGAAATAGGTCAGGATTCATTAGAAAGACAAATATTAGACAAAAATACTATACAGTAAATGAAGTGACACCTGTAGTCTGCACCGCTCCAAACAAATTACAGATAAGAAAAAATGAGCATTATTACATCAATTAATGAAATTACCATTTGAGTCAGTGTTTAATAAATCTTTTTCTTTGTCACTCAGGCCAATGCTATCTATCAATTTTCTCCTCTTCGGTTTAGGTCTCAGAAATTTGGGACGAGCAGTTCCTGGTTCTTCTATATTAAGGACTGGCACACGTACATTTTCTAAGTTTGACACTAATGTGGTTCCAACTTTTTTACTTCTTAGTGTCCTTGAAGGCACATCTATACATATTTCCTGTTTTGCATCATCACTACACTCTGCAGCTCTCTGTTTAGAGTGCCTAAGCAGAGAAAATGGAGAGTCTGGCAGTATTTTAGGGCCATCCTCAGTGGGGCATCGAGAGGGTCTCAGAGAAGTTTTGATGTCAAGACCTTGGTATACGATGGTGCCGCCCCGTTCAGTCTGTCGGCGCTTCTTGGAGGGAAACTTTGAATACAACACCTTCGCAAACTGTTGGAATTAAAAAGAAATTATACTCTACTTTATTATTACCAAATTTCAATAGAGATAAATATGAAAACATCCTAAAGATTTTGTACCAAAATAACTAAAGTGATACTTAGCAAATGTAGTACTGAAATTCTATTTCTTTGGACGCAAATAAACTGCAACAAGAAACAAACCTGTCTTTTGTCCACACAACTGAAAGGGTTGTCTCTGATGTAGGCACTATAGAAGTTGCACACGGAAGTACTGATCCCCGGTTTCTCCTCCACCATATTCTCCACCCACTTGTTACAGGATTCACGCCAGTCCAAAATCATGTTTCTGTGGAGAAGTTACTTTTTGGTATCTTGTAACTTACCACTGAATGACGAATATAGGTTTAGTGCATGCTCTTAATGAAATTTAGTGATACATTAATACAGGTTGACTATCACTAATCCAGCATCATCGGGACCCTACATGTCCGATGATGCTACATTTTACTACATGCTAATGCATTTTAACTTTCTCATATGACCACTTAGGGGGCCGTTAACCTTAAACTGTCCAAACGCAGATTTACGTCCACATGCGGGGGGGGGAGCTCCAAACGTAGATTTACTTTTTTTTTTTTACATGCTTTCAAATGGGGAAAATCAAGGTCAGAGTGTTACGCACGTGAACGTAGATCTACGTTTGGACAGTTTAAGGGTTAAGGACCACATTTTTTACTTCTTTTTATAAGTATTCTAATCTTTACATACCTGTGGGTCAACAATTACCTTAGAATATATCTTCCCATGCTGAAAATATTTACCTATTAGTCACATCATGCCTCTGAGCTTTAGAAAATACATACAGTGGAACCTCAATATACAACCAGCTCCCTACCCGAACAAAGCTGAGCACTTGATCAAACAAATATGACCTGCCACAACTTCGCTGTAAACTATTTCGTGTTTCTTCGGATTTTTTGGTGTTTTGTATTATTTGTATAAATAAGTCACCATGGGGCCTACGATGATTAATGATAACAGCTAACCAAACAGAAAATTGGTTGGGAAGAACTTGTTCGATACTCAGAGAAGCACCTGAACAGCCTTCGGGAATGAATTAAGGTTGCATACCGAGGTTCCACTGTATTTGTAACTCAAAATATTCCACATGTCAACCCCTTATCAATGACCAGGATAGAAACCAGACGAATAGTACATTAACCCTTTCAGGGTTGGTCCCGTATATGTACAGCTTGAGAGCCAGTGTCAGTCCCGTATTTATATGCCAAAATTCTAGTGCCTTCAAATCTGGTGGAAAAAAGCTGGTAGGCCTACATATGAAAGAATGGGTCTGCATGGTCAGTGTGTGCAGTATAAAAAAAAAATCCTGCAGCATGCAGTTCTAGCGAAATAGTTACGATTTTTGTCGACTAGTACATTGGAATTGGCCGAAAGTAGGGCTCAAAGTGGGCAAAACCGCCGATGTGTAAACATCGTCGAGACCACTAACTTCGCGAGAGCATAATTCCATAAGTTTTCCATCAAATTTCATACTTTTGGTGTCATTATGATCGGTTAAGATTCTATCTTTTCATAAGAAAAAATATTTTGTTTTTTTCTGAAATTAGGGGGACCCTGAGAACAAGTCTCTGAGAGGGCCTTTGGACCCTGAAAGGGTTAAGGATTAAAGAATGAAATCATAGATAAACAAGCGAGGTGTCCAGGTTTTGGGTTGAGGGGGAAGAGGGAGGGGGAAGCTGGCTCTTAACTCAAACGTTGGCTCATAACTCATAGCAAAAAATCGACCCAGGGATGGCTCGTATCTCAAAAAATCTCATAAGTTGAGACTCTCGTAAGTCAAGGTTCCACTATATATTCTCCATATTCATCACTATTGCAAGTGGTGCTAATACAAGATAGTTGGTTAGATTGCAATACCACCCCCAACTTGGTATGGTCTGCAGTTGTGAACTGCTGTGTATCCTGGCAGTGGGTAGATAATCCTGCTTAAGCCAGGTCTCAGTGAGAATAATACAGGAGAAGGGCATCTTTAGGGAATCAAGGAGTGCCAGGAGGTCATCATAGTGTTTGCTTAAGAACCTGATGTTGTAGTTAAGTGTTAGACGTTCAGCAGTATTTAGGATAGTGCTGGCTTATGATGCTGTGTAATAAAGGCAGTTACTTTCCAATAAATTTTGATTGGGCATTAGATTATGTAGGTTTAGATCAGGGTCGACGTGATCATTCATCTTTTAGGTTTAAATAGTAATTCTTTATATCCTGTATAGTGTGGCGAGTTCTAGCACAGTGGACCCCCGATTTACGATATTAATCAGTTCCTGAGAGCACATTGTAAGACAAAATTATCGTAAGTCTAATTAATTTTCCCCATAAGAAATAATGGAAATCAAATTAAGCCGTTCAAGACACCCAAAAGTATGAAAAAAAATTGTTACCACATGAAATATACATTTTCCTACACACAAAAAGGATACTTGCACAATATATATTGTGCAAGTACGTACTAGTGTACTAAATGAAGAATAAACGATACTTACCTTTATTGAAGATGTAGTGATGAGTGATGAGGAATTTTTACCTCTACTAACTGGCATACTTTGCTGCCTCTCTTCTCAATCATGGTCTCCCCTCATTCTTCATGGTGAAACCCGTACTTAACTCTGAAGAAGTGTCTTGTTTGCTCCCGTGGACTGAACCAAGATGCCCTCCATCGAGCAACTTTACCAGCAACTTAAGGAAGAATTGAGGGCAGCAAAGATTGGGGATACGGCGATGACCAGGAAAACAAGAGGATTCATAGTAGTCCTCCTGTTTCGAGTCCTCAGGTCAAGAAGGGATCGTGGGCAGTGGCTGGACAGCAGGGGACGACGAAAATTTTACGATCAAGAAGACGAATGGAAAGCCAGAAACGATGAAGAAGAAAGAGACTGCTGTGGAAACTCCTGTGGAAACCTCCAACGCATTCTCGGTGCTACCCGACGAATGTGGAGTCAACTACTGGGGGTCGTAACGACGAACGACAACAAGGAAGGTAAGAATATTGTTGTTGTTGGGGATTGCCAGGTTAGATACATGGATAGGGCATTTTGCTTGAAGGACAGGGGTAGGAGACAAAGGGTATGCTTTCCTGGGGGTGGGATGGAGGACATTGTTAGCCGGCTTGACAACATCATGAACGGTAATGGGATCAATTTCCCATTATTTGCCTCAGTGTGGAGGCAATGATGTAGGCAAGTGTAGAAGTTTAGGATTTAGTTAGAAAGTTCAGGACAGCTAAAACATAATAGGAAGAAGGGGGGGGGGGCACCCTGTTATATTGGCATTTGCCAAGAAGAGGTGTTGGTAATGAATGGTTTTTCCAGAGCAATTGGTATTAATTGTTGGCTGGATAAACACTGTAAGGATAATGCAGGGACCCTTCATTGACAATGGGACAACTTCTTGGCCGAAATGACATGTATGCCAGGGATGGGGTTCACTTATCCGGGCAGGTGTGGGGTTTTCTTGCTAACTCAGTTGAGGGGGTTTTTTAGGACTTTAAACAGGATTAGTTAGAGGAAATGGGTTTAGAAATGATTAATAATGATATGGATATATTGACTTATGCTCTGATATTAAGAATCTTAATATAACTGTCATGGAGTAACTTGGGTAATGATATTCAGAAATTGTGTAAAAACAAAGATGAATAGGAAAAATGTCAGAAGAAAAAACATATGATGGTATTTTATGCTAACAGTCGAAGTGCAAGAAATAAAATTAATGACTACGTTTGGTAGCATGTGCTGGGAACTTTGATATCATTGCATTAACTGAACGTGGTATGATTTAAAGAGTCGGGATATGACTGCTGAGTGTAATATCAGGGATTTAAGTTGTTCAATGTGGTAGATGTAATGGGAAGGGGGGAGGAGCTGCATTGTATGTTCGAGAAAATATTAATTGTTTGCATAAAAACAGGTATAAAAATAGATGGAGCAGTAACAGAGTCTGTTTGGGTAGAGTTCGTGGAGGGTCAAGAAAAATTAATTCTAGGTGTAATATACCGACCTCCAGGCTTGGATCACGATTTGAGGGAGACTTCTTTGGGATGAAATTGTTAGGGCTTTTGGACACAGTAACAGTCATAGTAGGGGACTTTAAATTTAAGTCAAATTGACTGGAATTCTTTGACAGGTAATCTAGAGTCCCGTGACTTTATGGAAACAGTTCAGGACTGTTATCTGAAACAGAGCGTAACTGAGCCTACCAGGGGTAATAATTTGCTAGACCTAGTCTTGTCAAATAAGGAAACACTTGTGAATAATCTGGAGATCAAACCCAAAAAGCTTGGGCAAGTGATCACAAATCCATCACTTTTTAGCATTAATTGGGAATGCAAGAATAATGATAATACAGTAAAAATCCCTGATTTTTCGTTTCTGGGGCCCATTATAATGGGACTTAGGGAACATCTGTCTAATCTTGATTGGGGTTATCTAGCTAATGATTTTTATTGACGATAATCATACTTATGAATATGAAGGGATCTGCTTTTATGATTGTTTTCTTAATATGTCACATGCCCAGAGTTTACATTCCCCAGAGAGAAATTAGGTCTAATAATAACGTTTCCCAAATGGGTTAAACAGGAGGCTAAAGCATCTATTAGGGGAGAAAAGGGGAATTTATAGGCTCATCAGAAGAGGAAGGTTAACCTTACTGACCAATATGTTCAGCTTAAAAGAGAAGTAAAAAAGCGATTAGAAAGGCTAAACGTGGACTATGAAATTAGAGTTGCTAATGAATCAAAGACTAATCCAAAGGGGTTCTTTCAAGTGTATAGGACGAAGGTGAAGGAAAAAGTAGGAACCTCTGAAATCTGGGAATGGACAGCTGACGGATAATGAACTGGAAATGTGTTCCTTATTTAATGACTATTTTTTGTCAGATTTTTAACAGGAAATGCAAATGAGATTCCAGTAAAATTAAAAAATTATTTTTTTTTGTTCCCGATGAATTTAAGTTAACATAATTATTACTGTCACGAGGGACAAAGGTTATTAAACAGATAGACAAACTGAAACAAAATAAGTCCCCGGGGCCCGATGAGTTGTTTTCAAGGTACTTAAGGAAAGCAAGATGGAGCCTTAGGGCACCATTAACGAGTGTATTTAATGCGTCCATCCTTACCAGTGTTGTGCCAGAGTTGTGGAAGATGGCTAATGTGGTTCCTATATTCAAATCAGGGGATAAGTCCACTCCTTCAAATTACCGTCCAAAAGCCCCGACATCTATAGTGGGCAAGTTATTTTGAATCAATTATAGCCGACATTATCAGAGTCCCCCTTGAAGAGGGAAAAACTTGATAAATGAATTCAGCATGGATTCACGAGAGGTCGTTCCTGCCCGACAAACTTACTGACGTTCTTCAATAGAACATTTGAGGCAGTTGACAGTGATAAGGAATATGATATGTTTATTTGGGATTTTAGTAAAGCCCTTCGACAGAGTACCTCACAAGAGACTTTTAAGAAAGTGGCAGCTCATGGTATAGGAGGTAAAGTTCTAGCATGGATAGAGGCATGGCTTACCAATAGCAGAGAGTTACCATTAATGGAGTGAATCTGAATGGGATTAGTCACTAGTGGCATTCCACAAGGATCATTTTAGGCCTTCTCCCTTTTTCATAATTTACTTTAAATGACTTGATGAAGGGATACTAGTGACATGAGTAAGTTTGCTGATGATACAAAGATGGGCCCGTATATTCACTCTGAGGAGGATATCAATGAACTCCAGGACGATTTGAACAAATTAATGTCTTGGTCTAAAAAATGGCAGATAAAGTTTAATGTGGAAAAGTGTAAGGTACTTGCCCTTGGTAATGAAAATAACCCTCGAAAGCTATAATCTAGGTGAAGTAGAGCTTGGTCATACAGAATGTGAAAAAGACTTGGGAGTCATGGTAAGCAGAAATCTAAAGCCAAGACAGCAGTGCCTTAGTGTGCCAACAAGGCCAACAGATTACTTGGGTTTTTCTCAGAAGTATAAGTAACAGAAGTCCAAAAGTTATTTTACGGCTCTATACATCACTAGTGAGGCCTCATTTAGATTATGCTGCTCAGTTTTGGTCCCCCTTTCTACAGGATGGACATAGACTCATTAGAGAACATACAGAGAAGAATGACTAAAATGATTTTCTGTGTAAAGGAACCTCCCGTAAAGAAGATAGACTTAAAGCCTTAAATTCCATCTCTGGAGAGGCGTAGAATGAGGGGAGATATCATTGAAGTGTATAAGTGGATGACGGGCATTAAACAAGGGAGACATTAAATAAAGTACTGAGGGTGTCGAACCAGGTAAGAACCAGGGAAAAATGGATTTAAGTTGGAAAAAATTTAGATTTAGAAAGGACATGGGTAAGAAATGGTTTCTAACAGAGTTGTAGATGCGTGGAACAGTCTTCCCAGTGGGGTGATAGAGGCTAGGACCTTGGGTAGTTTTAAAGAAGAGACTGGACAAATATATGAGTGGGAGGGGCTGGGTTTGATTGGTGTAAAGGGTACGGGAGTTATTTCTTGAGTAGCTTTAGGTAGATGTCGTTTTGATAAGGCCCCTGCCTCGTATGGGCCAGTAGGCCTTCTGCAGTGTTCTACATTCTTATGTTCTTTGTTTTCCTCCTGAGTAATGTAGGTCCTGTTTGGCATTTTCTTCCAGAACAGGCCTTATCACATTGTGTATGCCACTACGATTCTTACATCTTCAAACCCAACCTTTGCTGGCCTTAAATTCACCAATATGAGCACTAGTTCAGGCATTTTTTTCCTGTTCACCTGGGTGTTAGTGGGACTGGCGTGGGTCGCATCCTGGGGGGGAAAAGTTTAAAAGGCCCCCAATGGAAATAAGTTTTGACAGTCCTCAATGACACAAATGACTTTTGGGGTTTTCCTAGGTGGATAACCAATGGTAAACAATGTCACACTAGCCAGCTGGGCACTCAGGCCAGACAGACGTGGAAAGCTTATTTGGGGCGAATGATGTAATTCAAGTTTTTCAACATATGTCGGGGTCAAATTTTTATGCTGACAAGCATCATAAGTCGTTTTAAAAATTAGGTGAGGGACATCGTAAGTCGGGGGTCCCACTGTACTGATATCTGTAGCAGTGGGATGTTTGGACAAGGGTTTTTAGCGAATGCACATTGGTCAAATAGTGTAGTAACTAAAAAATAATGAATTTGGTTTTTGACTATGTACAGTATTGAGCTAGAATTAACTAAAGTACACCTAGGTATTAAATTAATTTAAGATTAGCCTTATTACTACATCACTGTATACCTTGATATACACAAGTTACCACATGGACACTAATAACACAATCTTTTCAATAAAAAAAGGCAAATTAGACCATATGCAACACTAAACTAATCCCAAACCTACGAAGAAACAACAGCTTTGAAGCCAAACTAAAAGAGGAATTCTTTATCTCAGAGGGGCCAATATTGTAAAATACTCTGGCATACTCTTGGCAAAAGCTCTCGCTTCACACAGTGAGGGTCCGGGTTCGATTCCTGGTGAAGTAGAAACACTGGATGCGTTTCTGTACACCGGTTGTCTATGTTCACCCATCAGTAAAATGGGTACCTGGGTGTTAGTTG